GCGGTGTAACGTTGTCTCGGATCTTGTTCTCCCCTCCCCTCCCTTCTTCTGCAGGCAGCGCTCGCGTGCTACTCCCGCCCACCTCGCCCGACACTTCCCAGCTCTTTCCAGGCCTCCGCCTGGTGAGGTAGACTAGGAGGGCGGGACTGCAGAAAAGATGCTGCGCCGGCCCCACTCTCCCGCGCGCGCGCGCCAAACACAAGGGTGGGACGAGACCACAGCGCGTGCGCGGTTCCGGAGCGCCACGCGCTCGTCCTTCCTGGGCAACACCTCCGGGAGCCCGGCTGACGCAGACTGCTGCTGTGCGCGTGCGCCCCGGAATAGTTTCCTTTCCGACCACTGGGTTCTCGGCTGCGAACTCCCGCGTCTGCCCTGGCTCTGCCTGGGAACCTCACGTGCGTGGAGTCGGCCACGGGGACTGACCGGGGCGGGGGCGCGGGTTGGTGGCTTGTGACAGACCGGGACACAGTTTTACTGCGAGGTGCAAACTGAGGAAGGCGTCTCTGTCTCTCTCCTGGGCGCTGTCTCGCTGGTCTAGATACCGGGAGTGTGGGCGTCCAGACGAGGCAGCGCCCGAAGTTCTGGAGCCGAGCGGGAGGCTTCCTGGCGTGGAGAGTGCACAGAGCCCGACCGGGGGTTCTTGGGTCTCAGCTGTCAATGCTGCTAGCTCTGTCAAGGGGCAGCCACTCGCGTGTTTTTAGGCAGGGCTGATCTTGCCGAATTTTCTTAGAGGATTTACACTAGAGATCTCATTACTTGTATCAAAATCTCCGCAGCGGTAGGGAAGTGGAGAGGATGAAGTGGCCCTTCTGTAGGCTGGTTCAGCTTTATGTACAGCAATTTCATGTGCTGGGAAATAAAATTCCATCCCATGAGACACCTCAGCTGCATTCTGGGCACGCCTGCTTCATGGATTCAGGTGTTTGACATGCTCTCGCCTCACCAATCTGCTGCTGTCTTCTGGCTCTGAGCTTTACTCCTCTAAAAGCGGAGGGCCAAGGGAGTGACCCTGTAGTTTTTTTTTTTTTTTCCTCATTGAGTTTATTGGTATATTTTTAGGGATACAGTACCGTTACATTCATTATTGGGATCTTGTACCTTTACATGACAGGTCTTGGTTCTCAGTTTTTCCCCTTGTTCCTGCCCTCCCTTCACCCCTCTTCCCTCCCCCTTTACAAACACTTCATTTCCATTTTTTCATTTTCTCATATTTTTTTCTCTAGTTTTGTTTGGGGAACCAGTGGGATGGATGGCTGAGAGGCGCAGCCCAGCCCTGGCAGCTTGAAGAGTGAGCTAAAGAGTGACTGGAAAATAAAGGCATTGTGTTTCTCCTCTGAGGAGGAGTGAAGTCTAGAAAATTAGGTTATAGTCTTTGGTATCAAGGAATAAGACCACACCGTCGGGCTTGGAGGGTCCACAGAAAATCTTGATGGGGCAAGTGACAAAATCAAAACTCTTCCTAAAGAGATTATTTAGCACTTAGGTGTATTAAGGCTTGAAGGAGGTCAAGAACAGGAACTGTGTGCATGAAATAAGGAGTCTGAAGGCCTGGGGATTTAGCTCAGTGGCTCAGCCACCTTCCTCACAAGCACAAGGACCTGAGTTCAATCTCTGGTACCAACAGCTAGTGGTGGTGTTAGAGCAGGGCTTGGCAAACATTTTCAGTGAAAGCACAAATAGCATTGTAGCTGTTGTGGGCCATAAGGTTTCTGTCCCAACTGCTTAACTCTGCCTTGAAATAAGAAGGCCATACATACTGTATTTCTCTGAAAATAAGACCAGGTCTTACATTAGTTTTTGCTATAAAAGACACAATAGGGCTTATTTTCAGGGCATGTCTTTTTTTCATGTACAACAATTAACATTTATTCATGTACAACAGTCTACATGTATGTATTTATTCATGTACAAAAATAACACTTAGTCATGTCATTTAAAAAATTATCTTTATTTTTTATCTTACTATTTGTTGTTGTTCCAAGGATCGAACTCGCGCCCTTGTGCTTGAGAGACTGGCATAGCACAACTGAGCTAAATCCCCAGCGCAGTTGTGTCATCTTGAATGTCATCATAACACTTTAATTCCCAAATTCTGGCCTGAATTTCACTGACTCCGTGTCCTGTAGAACCATTGGCCCTGATTTGTCACGTCCTGCAGCAGTGCTCTCCTTAAATGAGCATGTCTTGTCCATGTACCCTTCTAGTGCATTGGCAAGACTGGTCAAGGAGTTTATCCCATGAATTCTTTGCCCAAATCGTGTCCTCTTCAAGGCTGGTCTTCACAAAGTTTCCATTAAATCAAATATTAACTGAAGGCTTATGAGACAAGTATGGCAATAAAATGACTGTTAAGCACAATACACCACACAAGTGACAAAAAATTGCAAGCACCAAAATTGAGAAAATATTTATTTTACACAAGTACATTCAGTACATCTATTACAACACATGATATATTGAATTATAAAGATTCATATCAGGCAAATCACATCTGTTCGTTATCAGATACACATTTATTGCTCCCCCTTACAATGTCTGGTTGCATCCCCTCCCGTTAGCTACGTTTCATCATGTTACTCGTGCTACTTTCTCACTGACTGGCTTTCTCTCATTTTATAGCATTGACATTCTGTTTCCCATTCCTTTTGTATTTCTGCCTCCACCCAAAGTGTGTGACTGTATTGGGCCACACTGATTGATTTCTTTGAATTTCTAAGGATTCCTTGCATGTGCCATTCATTTTGGTCTTTTAGGCTCTTAACCATTCCATTATTGAAACTCTCCTTTGGATTCCAATATTTTTTTTTTTGCCTCTATCAATCTCCTTTTGTGACTCCTTTGTACTCTCCTTTTCTTTGCATCATGGTCTTGCTGAGAAGTAATCCATAATCATCTGCCATCTGTTTTTTTGTTTTTTGTTCTTTTTTTGGTATTAGGAATCAAACTCAGGGCTTACCAGGAAGGTGCTTTGTTGCTGAGCTACATCCCTGGCCCTGTCATCTGTATTCTTTTCTCCTGCATTTCCCTTTTTTCCTTAACACTGCATATATTTACTGATTTACCTGTCATGTCTGTGGTATGTGAACCTCTCCAGCCCTAACTTCAGGAGGGTCAGCCACCAACTATTTCCATTTCTTTTCCCAACTGCATAGTAGACTTGGATTTCTCCACTTCTTTGACCTCAAGTCTTGCCAGGGAAATGTGATTGGAAATTACTTACATTACTTACAAATAAAAGTTTAAAAGACGGGCATGGTGGTGCACACCTGTAATCCTAGCACTAGAGAGGCTGAGGCAGGAGGATTGCTGTGAGTTCGAGACCAACCAGCCTGGGCTACATAGTGAGTTCCAGGTCACTCTCAACTACATAGTGAGACCCTGCCTCAAAAAAAAAAAAAAAGTTTAAAGGTCTGTGCACATTTGTCGTAGACTTTTGCTACAGTGATGGATTTTTTAGTTACCTATGGTCTCATAACCCTTCTCAATTTTTTTTTTTTTTTTTTGACACAGAGTCTCATTGTGTAGCTCAGGCTGGCCTCAAACTCCTGGTGATCCTTCTGCCTCAGCCTCCCAAATGCTTGGATTATAGGCATGCACCACCATTCCCAGAAACCCTTCTAAATCTTAATGGTTTTGTAAGTTTACTTGGCTCATGGGCAGTTGTCTAATTTAGTTTTAGAGTCTCTGATGTAGTTTCAGCCTGTCTTGTCTGGAGCTAAGGTAATTGGGAAGCTCAAAATGCCTGACCTTTTCTTCTTCTCATATTCCGGGGCCTCTCTTCTTCACTCTCTACTCCGGCAGAGTAGTCTGACTTCTTACATGCTGGCTCAGGACTCAAAAGCATAAAAGCAGAACCTTTCAGTCTTTGTAAGGCTGAGGCCTCGAAATGACCCCTTCTATCATTGAAAGTAGGACCAGTTCATTTTCAAGGTGATGGAGAAATAAACTTGATGGAAGTCGGGGGAAGAATGACAGAGAGTTTGTGGCCATGTTTAACCACCACTCTGGCAGTGGTTCAAATGGTGGCTACTTCCCTCAGTCGGTGGCAGAGGAAGCAAAGAGCTCCAGGCTAACACAGTCACTGAGATAGTTGGGATTGTTTGGTATCAACTAAAACAATGAGTGCTGGATATAAAGCACAGCTAAAGAAAAAAAAAACAAGAAACAAAATATGGGCATTGGCATATATAATATACTACAAATACCAGTGGTTGGTTGGTTTGGCAGCATCTAGCTCTGACTCATTTACGAATCTCCCAGTGCATTAGCTCAAGAATTTGCACCATGATACTCAAGAAATATTTCTTAAGTAAGAGATTATGTTGCTTGTAATTCCCCCTCATTTTAGGAGAAGCACTTCTTTTCCACACCAGATATTTCTTGCTGGAATATGGAAGAAGTGTCACTAACAAAACTTGACACTGTATTCCAAAGCTACCAGCTAGTTTCCTGATATGTAAAGCTCACCTTCTTCCTCTCTCCTTTGTCTTGGCAGCCAGGAAAGTATATTTTTTCCTCCTCTACCTCATACTACCAGTTTTATAGTGCTTGCCCCTGCTGAGGGAAGGTTGGCTAAGCTTGCCAAAGTAGGCTGCTTAATGGAAGGGAGATTTGTGGTTTGGGGAGCTATGTTCGCTTTCAGAGAATGGCAAAGTCTGCTATTTGAACTTCAGTTCACAAGGTTAAG